TATAGATGCTTACTCAATGACTTATATTCAAATTAATGAAATCCAAAGAACGAGAATATATAGTTTTTGAGAGGTTTTATATCAAATCAATTATTTGTGGTATGAACTTTGTCTCTATCAGGACTAAAACTGCATTCTTCGTTTGTTTAAAAACCATATTGTTCAATGTATTTTTTCTTCTCTGTCAACAATGAAATATAATAGACTTTGAAATAAAATGCAATAGGCTTCAAAATGAAGTTTATTTGTCTTTTTTGAAATTAAGCCTTAATTTTATACTGTGTAACATTAAGAACTAAATCCCTTCCACAGGGATTATTTGTACATGGTAAATGATATAAGATTTTGGAGTGGTATAAACATAAAATAGCATATGATTCATTGAATAAAACAAAGATTTTGCCTTCTTAGTAAATACATGTTTCTAACGTTTATTGATTTTATACTTATGAAGCAATATCAATGTTTCTATATGTGATTTTCTAATATGGTTAAGTAATTGCTGCATAATTTTAATAACTTTTATGTGTTTCAGTCAGATATCAGTGAGATCATCTTTATTAAAATATTCAGTATGTTCTCATCCTACATGAATCTAAGCCTGTAAATGAATGTGTATGGTTTTCTTTGGAACAGAAGAAGTTTAGAGGCCTTATTTCTACAATATTGTCCACTTTGAAATTTGTTAATTCATCTTTTGAACTAAATATTTACCTTACTTAAATGGGTAGGCTAATAATACAGACACAAACAGAGGAGAATATAGAAGTTCATACAGCAATTTAAACTCTAAGAATTTTCAAGTAAATTAAATGTAAATGGGACAGAAGTGGTATAAAAGTTGGAGACTCGGGCTTGCTGTTCTTTACTGAGATGGTCACTTGGTCTCTCAGGTATACTGTCTTCACTATTTCTCTTCCTTAAGCTCTGCCGGCATGCTTAGCATTATTCTCTGTCTTACATGTGAACTTCTTCTTACTTGAGCAGTTTGTGTGGTGACATGTTTGTGCACTTAGGGCATTAAAGAGGACAAGCGGTGTGCACATCCAATGAAGTTGAGTGACTTGACCACAGTCAGTCCACAGAAACCAGGATCAGAACTCAGGCTTTTTTTTAGCCAAGTCCCGTTCATTGTGTTATACCACAAGCTGGTATTTCTTCTTGGCCACCAGTTCCTGGGAGAAAAAGGCCATGCTTCCTCCATGGACAGTCAACGCCAGCCATGTAATAGATGCAACAGAAGGGGTTCAACCGAGCTGTTTCTGAAGCAAGGACTTCTAGCAATTATTTCTCAAGTGGTGACAGAACTGTATTCTAAATGAAATACCTGGATTCAGCCTGAAAGTTGAACTTGTTTAATGATTTCCCTCTGTGTCTGAGCCTGCCTTTTTTACATGCAAGGTATGTGGAGACAACACAATTCGGAGGAACTCAAAGAATGTCTTTGATTAAGGATTAAATCTAGTTGGTTTTTATTTTAATAATCATGATACAGCCTGAACATCTGTGCAGTTGTCAAATTGACATATAACATATGTCATACGAGATTTTGTCTCTTAAAAAGCTCCTTTTGTATTTTTAACAAAAAATATCTAAAGTGGCAGCTATTTGGAATGCACACAGAATATTTGTGGTATTGCAATTTATTGAAATGAGAGACATTTTCAAAAATAGTTGGAGATGTTTTGGAATTTAAATGACTGATTTAGAAATTTGTTTTGCGTAAAGAGATGAGATGTTAAAAGAGAACTTGCATACATATAAGATATACACATATAACTACAAATAGAATAATATTTACATTTAACTCTATATATAGGAACATTCTAATTAGATAATATGAAATTGTTTCAAGTACTAAAATTTTTAAAACATTCAACCGGAACTTTAAAAAATATTAGCATAAAGACAACAAATTTTGTGTATTTTATAGATACAATTTTAAGAAGATAATGTACTTCCATCCATCCCTCTATATCTCCTAAATTTCCCTACTTCATTTTTCTTTAACAAAAGCACAATTTCAGGGCCCATTGTGTTAGCCTAGTGGCTAAAGTCCCATATTCCCATATGGGCATCGGTTTGTTCCCTGGCTGTTCCACTTCCCTTCCAGCTCCCTGTGTATGGCCTGGGAAAGCAGCAGAGGACAACCCAAAACCCTGGGATCCTGCACCCATGTGGGAGACCTGTAAGAAGCTCTTGGTTCCTGGCTCCTGGCTTCATTTCAGCTCAGCTCCAGCCATTGTGTCTATTTTGGGAGTGAAGCAGCAGATGGAAGATCTTTTTGTCTCTACATCTCTCTGTAAGATCTTACTTTCCAGTAAAAATAAATAAATCTTAAAAAAACACCTAAGTTCAATCCACACTTTAATCACAGATTTAATGCAACACTAAGCATCATAGTCAACTAGTAAAAGGCAGACAAACCACAGACACGTAGAAGTGTAAACAACGAAGAAATCACAACATGTCCATTCAATCCCTATTCAATTATTTTGTGTTTTATCATAACTACCACATTTTAGCAAAAACATATGGTAATTGTTTTTTGGGAGTTGCTTATTTCGCTAGGCATAATGGTTTCCAGTAGCCTCTGCTTTGCTGCAAAAACAGTATTTCATTCATTCATTCATTCATTCATTCTTCTTCTTCTTCTGGCTGAGCAGCGCTCTGTAGTGTATTTACACACCACAATTTCTTTACTCAGTCATCAGCTGATGGACATTGGGATGATTCCATATCTTAGATATTGAGCTAGTGAACATGAAGTAGATTACCAAGAAGTTGCCTTCCTTGTCTAACTCAACAATGATAATGAAACACTATTCTTGGTGAGAATATCTAAAAGTGTTGCTTCACTGGCGAATGACTTTGCCCATGTGCATACTTTATCAGTTTTTGACTAGATCATTGATAATGTTTTTATTATTTTCCTTGTTACTGTATCATTTAATCCTTTAGTAACTATAAACCAGCTAAATGGTTATAGTAGTGAGAAAGAATGTTATTTAGCTGACTCCAGAACTGGGTTATAATTATGGGTAATTGATTTAAAGCTCAAATTGTTTGGACAATTATTTCATTGTTAGTGATATCCTGTTTGAAATATTGCATAATCGGTATGCTTTTGGTGTAGCAAATAAAATGTCCCCTGGAATCCTTGCATCCTATAATGCTATGTCTGGGCTTTGGCTCTGGTTTTCTTTCCAATCTTACCTTCCTGTTAATGCACATGCTAGAACGTAGCAGTTCCGGTAGCTGGTGCATGGCACTCGTGTGGGAGACCTGACTGAGTTCCAAGCTCTTGGCGTTGGTGTTGGCCAACCTTGTCTATTGTGGACATTTGGGCAGTGAGCCATAGGATTCATGATCTCTCTCTCGCCGTTTCTGTCTCTGTCTTCCAAATGACTTACCAGCTAAGTCATTTTAAGATGGAGTATCATATGTTTATTAAGTCTATACTGAGACTTAACATGGCTCAGTCACAGGTGTAAGTTTGTTCGGCTTTAACAGATATCTCAAACCAGTTTCTAAAAGCAAAATATGCACAATCCCATTTGGAAAATTTTTAGTTTTTATTAAAACTGAGCATATCCAAACACTGTGAGCTAGCAAATCCACAGCTAGGATTTGTTCAAATGCGCATCTAAAGACACGCACAAGAATATTCAGGAAAATACAATCTACACAGGTTAAAAATTTAAACTATCAAAATGTCAACATTAGAATGGCTAAATAAACAATGAGATGTTGGCAGAACAATTCTTCTACAGCAGTAAAAATCATACGTATAATCTCAAACCCATGGAGGAAAGATCTCAGCGGCATAAACTCAGTTTAACCTTATCATTTCCCATGTGCGGGTATTGAGGTCCAGGTGTTGCAAGATTTCCTAGAAGAGTTGAGAGGAAAATTTAGGCCTGCTAACTTGGGGTCTAGACCTGCTGCTATCCTGCTGTGTAGGAGGAAATGTCTGAATAGGTGAGGCTCCTTATGAAGAATTAAACATCTTTACTGTGGTCTAGTTCCTGGGGAATGGAATCTGGAACAGCTATTTAAACAATCGGTCATAGTGGTGAGTGAAAGAAGCTAGACACCAGTGTCCACCCGTGTCCATTCCACTCCTGTTCAGAGCAGTCAGTAATCTAAAGAGCAACATGCCAGGGGTAGTTCCTCTGGACCGGAGAGGCTGCTTAGCGGGTAGTTCTGATTGGTGGCCCAAACTGAGCAGTACATTTCAGAAATGTGTGCTTTATTCATGCTATATTTCAGAAGAGATTGGGCGCGTTCAGGGTGGTATGGCCGTAGACTCATGCTATATTTCAATAAAATAATGCCCCGAAGAGATATACCAACTGTGGAAAGACTTTTCCGCATTTGGGATAGTGAATGGAAGACGCCTGGAGAAAGAATTCCATTCATTTCCTTTGGTCTTTGTCATTCACTTTCTTTACTCATTTAACATCTCCCAAATCCTCTCAAACTTCTTGCCTGGGGCTCCTCCCGCTAGGAGGCGGGCGAAGCTGGGAGCGTAGAGGGACGGGGGGGTGCGGGGTGGGGGAACGGGGGAGAGAAATCAGTGTCCCTTAAAGTCCACACAGTACAGCAGAGGCTGCAAAATGCTTAAGACTCCAGAAAATCTCCCGCGATTCAGCAGCGAAGGGCTGGGCAGCGCCTGGGCCACTTAGGCTGCTGCCCTCCCAGTCCCGGGCAGGTGCTTCTGAGAACATCAGAGGGATAGAGCCTCGTTTTGCAGAGGACTGGTCTCTGTTGGCTGTCAAAAAGAATACATCACCTACGGAACTGAGACGCAGCTGCCTCGCCTCTCCCCTGTCCCGTTTCGAATTCGGAGCTAGCAGGAGCGCATGCACCCTTTCCTGTGTAGAGACCCTGTCTGTGCGGGCTGCTGCCAAATCCCTGTCCTCCTCGGGACTCAGCTGGTGCAACTTTCCCGTGGTCCTAAACCTGCGGAGGCCGGAGAAAATCTGGTGACCAACTCGTGAGCATTGCATTTTGCAGGACACCTGAGCTCAGGACAACTCTAACTCAGTCTTCCGCAGAGCAGACCATGCCCCCGATGTCCACTTCCAACCTCTCTCTGAGCCTCGGCGAGAATCAGAGCTGTCTCTTTCCCGAGGTGTGGGAAAGGGATCTCCCGCCTGCCTCGGACCGATCCCCCGCCGAGCTGGTGATCCGCGGCGTGATTCCGTCCCTCTACTTGCTCATTATCACGGTGGGCTTGCTGGGCAACATCCTGCTGGTGAAGATCTTCATCACCAACAGCGCCATGAGGAGCGTCCCCAATATCTTCATCTCCAACCTGGCGGCAGGCGACTTGCTGCTGCTGCTCACCTGCGTCCCGGTGGACGCCTCACGCTACTTCTTCGACCAGTGGATGTTCGGCAAGGTGGGCTGCAAATTGATCCCGGCCATCCAACTCACCTCGGTGGGCGTGTCCGTGTTCACCCTCACTGCCCTCAGCGCGGACAGGTGAGAGTCCAGGCAGCCCTCCACAGGGCGGAAAGGAAGGTCTGGGGCAGGTGGTGAGGCGAGTAGAGCAGGAGTCTGGAGTGCCCCGTGGAGCAGCAGCGAGGGGAGAAAGGAGAAGCAAAGGAGAGGAACAGACTGTATCTGGGAAGTGGATTAAAAAGGGACTGGGGTTTGAAGCCTAAAATAACGTAAGAAAATTCTTTGAAGATAATTAAATTGCATTAGTTTGAAATTAGTTTTGCAATTGCATACCCTAGATCTATACCCCACATTGGGAACTTTATTGTATATTTCACAGAAAAGCTATGGAATAAACACTGAAAATTATGATTATCTAGTAGAAGTTTTATGTGTGCTTAAGCCTTATTTTCTTTATTCAGTAGGGTAACAATCTTATAGGTGAAATGTTTGTGTTAACCAAATACTTAATTTGGGGGGCGGGGTTGATTCCAAGAACAAGCCAGATGTAAACACCTCTTTTCAAGAGGACTGAGTGCAACAGCTAGCATCTTCCCCGCAGGATTTTTCAATGCAGGAGGTGTCTGCTCCAGCAGTATGTTGGAGAGCGTCTGGAAGCCTACACAAGTCAGATTTTCGAAAAATCAGATGTGGGCTCCTGCAACCTGTCCCATCTTGTTGATAACAATATTTCTATTTTACATATAAGAAAAATGCTGCCTATGGTAGTGTGTTTTTGCTATTCAATCATTTTTTCTCCAAGACGCAAGGTCAGCATCCAGATGCTATAGACCTCCAGCCTGGCTGGGATCCTGCATTCTTACTTACAGTGTACTGCAAAGGTCTCAGATCAATGACAGTGGTGTTGTATAGCATCAGATGGTATAGTGCCCCTCATACGCTGTATAAAGTTCTTCTTTCTAAAGAGACAAGCAAGAGAAACCAGCTAGAAAAGTTTGGGATCACTGAATAAATGATATTTAATTTATTGGATTGAAATATAGCAACTTTTACTAAAAATAAGCCATGTAATTCACATTTAAAAAACAAGACGATCAAATGTGGACCTTACAATTCATCTTGTGTCTATGATTATATAAAAATTACAACTGGGCACTTGTTATGGAGAGCAAAATGTCCTCTTGGAACTGGCAACTAGAGTTTTTAGAAGAACTTATGACTCATATTTGGTGAAAGTATGGGTCAACTTTTGTTTTTTCCTAATCCTGGTTTCTTCTTTTTTATTTCTGTTGTAAGTTGTCTATATCATTATTTCTAAGCTGCCTTAAATCCTTCTGAGCAAACTGAACATGAACAAGAACAGTCCTGGCCCAAGTAAAAGAGTTGAATCACATTTCTTTGTCATTGTTATGGAAATATTCATGCTATACTCACAAAATTCACCATATGTGTAGTAAATAGCAAAAAGACTCAGGAAATATGTGAAATTTAGCATTTTCTTCTGACCTTGGAAGATAATTACCCAGAGCAAACAGCTGAGAAAATTGGTGTGAAATAAACTCAAGGCTTGGGTCTTGACACTAGTGTTACATTCCAAAACTGAAACCATTATGACAGGAATTGTGACTATTACTACAGGCAATCTTTAGGTTTTGTTAGAATAGTTTAGCAGATATTTTTTAACCTTATACTTAAAATAGGCGCTATGAGTAGAAGTTGTTAAACTTAAGACGCCAGGTTTTAATTTGATATTTAAGGACAATTTTTAAAGATTATTGTAAAGGTGTGTTATAAACGAAATGAGGTACTTAATTTACACAAAGGACAGAATTGTACTTTTTGAGATATACTACATAAACTACATGTAAATCTTCCAATTTGAAATGTATACAATGACTCTCAGTTCCTAATAGAATATTGTCTTTCCTTCAAAAAAGGTTCTTATCAATTCCAAAATAAGAGTATAATAATGAATAGTGGGAAATATAATATGTTTATTAATAATTTAATATATAAATTAAAGAGGAAAGTGAACATCATCTTAATTATCTATGGTAAGTTGCTTATCTAAATATCTTAAGTCAGGCTCCTATTCCCTGGGGGAAATTAGACCAAATGATAAGGTTAAACTCTTTGATCTGTATGGTACTAAATAAGAAACTTTACACACTTAGAATATGTAAAAAGAAGATTTGATATAAAAGAGATTTTTATAATATTATTATAGCATACTAACATTTGCAAGTATATCTGGAAAAAGATGTATTTCCTGACTTGAGGTAGTAAGCAAGAAGACCATAACCCATGATCTGCTTGAAAAACATTTATAATTACTTTTGCTGCAAATAAGAGAATTTAGTTAGAATTATAAATGATATGTCCTCTGATTTGATAGTCTTTTTCTTTTACAAATTTCTAGGTGACTCTGAAGATGGATGCATTGTGGACAGCATAGGAGTAGACTCCTCCTTCACTTCTCTCTAGCATTTACAAAGTCCAATTTCTAATAACACCATTCTCCTCTATTCCTCCACAATCGTTCCTTGTTGTTCAGGCCATATTTTCCTTGGTAGTCCAACAACCATTTACTGAGTAGCTAATCATGTTATGCACAAGTGATGCTATGCATGAAATGTACAATAATGAGTAAAACTTCACCTGTTGCAATTTAATTTACACTTGACTCTTTATTGGACTCTTTATTGACTCTTTATTTGAAGGTGATTATTGGCCTATTCCTTGCTTGAGGAGATAAATGAAAGTTTGTAAGAAAAGCAAGAGACGAACTGGGGTAGTGTAATCAGAAAGTTTTGTACTGTTATTTCCTTTTGCTTTCTGTCCATCACTGGTTAGTGTGCAATACATTCTTTGATGTTTCAAAGCTATGTTTAAAACTAACAAGGATGCATTAATGATCTCTTATTTTTTGTCTATGATTTCTGGTTTGGTAGAATCTACAATGCTGTGCTTTTGCTAAATGTATATGGTTTAGGAACTTTTCCTGGGATCTTTTCTCAAAGGAAGTAGTTTAGGACACCCTCTATTAAAAATGCTTGCCCTGTCCTCTGCATGCACTCTCGTTAAGTTGTATGCCCTAAACCAAGAAGGCTCTATCTTCTGTTAGAAATCTTATTGTAATGAGAGTTTTATAATTTTAATTACTATTTCAAGTTTCTGAATATCCTTTACTGTTACAGAGTGTCTGTGATAGTCTGAATGTTTGCCTTTCTTCAAAATTCTTAACTTAGAACCCTAACCTCCAAGGTGCTGGTATTAAGGTGGTATTTGAAGGTGATTAAGTCATGAGAGAGGAGACTTCATGAATGCGACTAGAGCCGTTGAGTTAGAGATGCTAGAGAAACCCCTTGCCTTTCCTGCCATGTGGGGAAATAGTGACAGAGCATCGCCATGGTGAGTCTGCCAGACCTTGAGCTTGAATGTCTTGGGCTTCAGAATCGTGCTAAGTTTGTGCTCTTTGTGAGTCACTTGGTCTGTGATATTTTATTGCAGCAGTCTTGATATGCAAAGACAGCTCCTCTGTCATGGTATGTGCTCAGTTCTCAGGTGGAGAACTGCAATTTTCTTTTTTACCTTTAACTATATGCAATAAAGTTCAAAATATGCTTTGAATTTTCAATAATCAATCTACTCATAGTGATAATTTCTCTTCACTTTCATCCACATAAAATATCTTCAGCAGTTTTTTAGTACTTTGTTATGAAATATGATTTATCAGTCAATAATTAACTTTGTAGGCGATATTAAAGTGCAGACACTAAGTAAACAAATGGCACCCGGAACGATGCCAGCAAAAGAAGATTCATTTATTGGCGTCATAAATAATGTGGAAAGACTATAAACATAAATCAATGAGATGCTATAAAAAGATGAATGTTTAGAAAACAGGAAACAATTTCAAGAAAAGGAAAACAGGATAACAGACAGAAGAAAAAAATCCAGAAAAAGAGATGGAAATCAGAACTAACAATACATTGGAAGGTAAAACAATAAAAAAAATGAAGAAAATGGAAATCTGAGATTAAAATTTTAGGTTATTGAAGTTATTCAGGAAAGTTAAATGAAAACTTTCAAAATTAAATTCAGATACATGGAAATTACATAAATTAAAAAATGAATAGATACTAATTCTAGGAAAAGCAGATGCAATATCAGAAAAAGAACATCACCAGAAAGATCATGGTAGCATAAGACTCAATATGCCAGTCACAATCATCTGTGTTAGATAAACTCAATATAAATTACTAAACTGAAATGAAATGAGTCAGCAAATGATAGAGTGATTTGTACATCAATGCTTATTGTAGCTAAATTCACAATAGCTTAGAAATGGAATCAATCCAGATGTTACAGTTGATGATTGGGTAAAAAAAATGTGGTGTATTTAATGACTATGGAATACTACTCAGCCATTAAAAGAGAATAAAATCTTGTCTTTTTGCAACAAAATGGATGCAACTAGAAACCATTAGATTGGTGAAATAATCAAGTCCCCAAAAGACAAATATCATGTTTTCCATGGTCTTTGGTAATTAATACAGAGTAAAAAAAATGCAGTGTGTATGAATAAAATTGGAACTTTTATTTTAACATTTTTATTTTTATTTGAGTTGCAGACAGAGGAGACAGACTGAAAGAGAGAAAGAGCACCCTTTCATTTGCTGCTTCATTCCCCAAATGGCTGCAATGACCAGAGAGCTGTGCCAATTCAAAGGTGGCATACAGGAGCTTCCTCTGGGTCTCCCACCTGGGTGCTGGGACCACAGAACTGGAATCACCCTCTGGATTGGAAGTAGAACAGCTGGTATTCAAACTCAACTCCGTACAGCATGTTGATGCAGTCAGAGGCCTGGACTACTGTGCCATTGTGCTGGCCCTGAAACTGATAGTTTTAGACTTGACTATTGCCTATAGCTTTTGTCTAAACTCTTGAGGAATGATGTTTTTATTTTCCCAATTGCTATTTTTTGAATTCTTTACCAATGGCGTGGTAAGCATGTGAAGTTAGCTGAATGTATACAATTTTTAAAAAAGTAATAAACAAGCAAAAAAGAAAGAAGAGGAGGAAGGATGGGGAACACGGGCAGGAAGACGGATAGGGCAGGGAGAGTGACTATACTCCAAAGACATATTGTGAAATACATGAAATTAGCTCACCTTAAAAAAATCGATTTTTTAATTCTTTATTTTTTTTTTCCTGGAAAGTCAGATGCACAGAGAGGCAGAAAGACCGAGAAGAAGATCTTCTGTCTGCTGATTCACTCTCCAAGTGGCTGCAATGGCAGGAGCTTTACCGATTACAAGTCAGGAGTCAGGAGCCTCCTTGGGGTCTCCCACACGGGTGCTGGGTCCAAAGGCTTTGAGTCGTCCTTGACTGCTTTCCCAGGCCACATGCGAGGAGCTGGACGGGAAGCTATTGCACAGGGTCCTAAAATTGAATTTAAAAAAAATTATTATATTAGAACATTTGGGATAGGGAATGGAGGTTATATAAAACATAAATATTTCCAGTTGCCATAAAGGGATGTCAATCTGCATGTTTAAGAAGCTAGAACAGTGTTGGAAGCATATTTCTGTAAGAAACATGGAGGTAATGCTCTGAGATTTATTTTAGTAAAGGAGTGGAAAATGAATTGAAACATGGAATTTTGCCTTTATTTGCAGTGATGTTCTTATTTTTCTGATTAACACAGACACATTAATCTGATTAAACAATAACAAAAAAGTAGGGGCTGTAGTTATAGTTTGATATTTTTCCATCTTCTGTATATGCAATTGCAATGTATAGGGAAGGCAACAACTATCGTGAGAGATCCAGGTAAATGTCATGAGATGGACTATTTTATTTCATTTGCTTTGGAGGCATTTTGAAAGTATCCTTCCTTAATTTACAGGTATTTCCGTGGAGTACTTCCGTATGTGAACTGTCCTTTCCCTGCAGATAGTCTGGAAATGGCACCTGCAAGAAGATGAGTCAGGAGTGCAGAGAGGGAAGAACAGAGAAAGAGAGAGGAAGAAAGAGAGCGGGAGAGAGAAAGAGAGGGAAATGGTACACTGTATACTATTTGGCTTACTGTTATTTCAGTTCTCATAGATATGTTAGAGACAAAACCTCAGTCTGGATTAGTCTGTGGGATTCATTAATATCCTTATGGAGAAAAAAAGAGTGTCACGTGTCTGGTTCAGAAGCTACAGAAGGGTACCAAGGTAAATTGGTAATATTATCCTGTTTTTTAAAATTTTTGTACTTTGTAGCTATTGTGTGTTTATTAAATCACATTCATAGATTTCTGAAAAATAATAAGGTATTTTAAGATATTAATAATAAGGATATTTAATGAATGATGACACATGTAGTGTGTATAAATTTAGAAAATACTTGTGAAAAAGGTAAGCAAATGATCACTATTTGGTAAGCATCAATTTAAATGATTTCCTTCCTCTGCCCATCTTCTGTGTTAAAAAATGATGCAATGACTTACTTGTACACAGACATTGGAGACTTTAGGACTGGCCTTGGAAACACCCCAGGGAATAATGGGATGTTTATCCCTGAATTCCCAGACCTGCCCACTTCCTGGCTCTTTCAGTCACTTGAGACATGTTTGTCTTCCCAGGTACAGAGCCATCGTCAACCCCATGGACATTCAGACATCGGGCATGCTGCTGTGGACCAGTGTGAAAGCCGTGGGCATCTGGGTGGTCTCGGTGTTGTTGGCAGTCCCCGAGGCTGTGTTCTCTGAAGTGGCACGCATCGGTGGCTTGGATAACAACAGCTTCACAGCGTGTATTCCCTACCCTCAGACGGATGAATTACATCCCAAGATTCATTCAGTACTCATTTTCTTGGTCTATTTTCTCATACCACTTAGTATTATTAGTGTTTATTATTATCACATTGCAAAGACTTTAATTAAAAGTGCACATAATCTTCCTGGAGAATACAATGAGCATACCAAAAAGCAGGTAAGGTTAGTGGAGGGGTGTGCTGGGGGCGTAAGAGTTAGTGTTCTGTTTCATGGCTCTCGGTTCTGGAAGTGATGAGAACAGAGTTGCACCTGTGCTATACTTGCCTTAGCTAGAAGTGATCTAATATCTACTCATGCCACAGCTCTTCAAAGCCCCAGCTGGGTTTCATACAAGACCTATAATGACATCATTACGCAGTAATGGCTTTGCAGGGCCTTACTGTAGTGCAAATGTTATGCAAAGTACACAATAAGGCAGAACAATTTCGTATAGTAGGTTTACATGTATTTATCGGTCTTCTGCCATGAGACTACTCATGAGACTGGAAGAAGGAAAGGCCTGTGGGATACTGACTGTGCAATCTGGATGTGAGTCTTGGGTTGGATACTGGAGTAAGAGGCTCTGGAGTGAGGACAGCAGAAAAGGACTGAGAAAGATCAGAGGTGGGCCGGTGATAAAGCAATTTAAAACTTTCCTTCTAAAGATTATATGAATGTTGAATATCCCTATCTGATATCTTTGGACTCACAGTTCCATAGTTACTGGTTTTTCAGGTTTTGAAATGTTTGTTCAGACATACAATTGAGCACAACTAATCTGAAAATCTAAACTCCAAAATGATTTGCTCTTTGGGGGCTTGGGGACATTCTCAAGCTGTACTAATATAAAAACCCAAAATACACTGACTGTCCTTTTCTCCCTTATATATATATTTTTATTTCAAGTAATGAAAGAGAAACAAAAATCCTTATTTTGGGGGAAGTTTCTAGTTGCACATTTGTATACTCCCAGATTAGAGCTTCTATTAAAATGTTCTGAGGGCTGAGACAGGTCATGGGAGCCTGTTTTTAATTTGAAGGCCAACAAATTGAATCTTAGCTGGGTAATATTTGTTGAGATATGGATGGGATAATAGACTGTTGCCTTGTACATTTTATCAACTATACAGTTGCTACAAGTTTCTTGCAGGGAGAGTAAACAAAAGACTTAAAAATGTATCAGCTATTAAATGTGTTGTTAGTTAAATTAACAAATTTGCTATTTAAGTATATGATGCCATTAAAGCAAAACGTCTAGGTCCTAGGATCATGTCTACAATCAGTTATTTAATTGGGAGCCCTTTGATTCAATTTCTATTGTGATTTGGATATGTGACTGTTGGCTTTGCTATCTAACGTTGAATTTCTTGTGCACATACAAGTTTCTGCTGTACTTGGTTCTGCTTCGCTTTGTTGGATAACTGTAAACTCCGATGGGCCACTGGCTCTCGATATTTACCAAAAGGCAGTCTCAGTGTCAACACCTTGGCTGTGCACTTGAGTCTTCAAGCGTACAGTTTGCCTTTGACCTCTTTCATACTGCCAGGCTGCCTAACTCATGGCACCAGAAAACATACAGAGTACCGTGTGAGGATATTTCACAAGGTGATGAAAAATTCACATTATGTTTTCAAAATAGTTTCACATCAAAATGGTACCTATCCTTTCATTCTATTTTTCCATGAATTTTTAAATATCCTCACAATCTGTGTCTTGAGCTATGCTCCTCCTAAATTGCACCCTTTTTTTTGCCTTCTCCAACACCAACTAAGATTGCTTTCCAATAATAATTATATTCCAATTCTTCACTATTTTGTGGAAATTCTGATTGATGAACAAGGGTATAGCTCAGAAAATATTATGATCCCAGCCATCATTTTTTTAAATAAAATGTCTTCATGTTCCCATTGTTGTATAAAATTGCCTTTCAAACAGAAACAAATTAATCTTTTTAAAAAAGCAGATTAGACAAATATAAATTAAATCTTGTAATGTAGGTGTTAGGAAATTAATTTTATATTAAAATATATGTCCATATTTGATTTTCCTACTTATCATATTTTGAAAACCTTTTTAATGAAAATATGCATAACATCAAATGCTATGAAAAAGAAAAACATTTGTAAAGGTGACAATAATACTATTTATTTAACACTTATATGCTTTTATATGAATCAACAGTTTACATAGCAAATTCATTTTTTTGTGAATTAAAAATTAAAAATTTCAGGTTGCTTCATTAAATTTATATTTTTTATTTAAAACAGCTTAGAGTAGGCATTTAGCCTGAAGAGTTAAGTCACATAGCTGGCTTCTGCCAGCACACAGGAGCTCTGGAACGTGTTCCTGCTTCTAGGCGCCAAGCCCAGCCCAAACTCACCCATTGTGGGTATTTGGGGAGGGATCAGTGGATGGGAGCTTTTTCCCCTCTGTTTATGTTTCTCTGCCTTTCAAATAAAGAGAAAACAATTATATGCATATATATATATTATATATACATATCTTTAAGATTTATTTCTTCTTTATTGGAAAGTTGGATATACTTAAAGGAGGAGAGAGAGAGGCTCTTCTGTCTGTTGATCCAGTCCCTAAGTGCCTGAAACAGCCAGAGCTGAGCCGATCCAAAGCCAGGAGCTTGGAACCTCCTCCGGGTCCCCCACCAGGGTGTAGGGTACCAAGGTTTTGGGTCATCCTGGGCTGCTCTCCAGGCCACAAGCAGGGAACTGGATGGGAAATGGGGCTGCCGGGATTAGAACTGGCACTCACATGGGATCCCGGCTTGTGGCTTGTGCAAGAGGAGGACTTTAGCTACTAGGTAAGAAAAAAGCTGGGGGGATGCCTGCACCCCGGGTAGATGATTAGTGCTCCTGCCACCACACTGGCCCCCAAATAAGACAATTTTTAAAGACACAATTCACATGCATATAAATCCATTTGGTAATGACTCACTGCCTAAATTATATTGTTTTAAATGAAACCAGTGCAGTGATGAAGATAAACTTTTTTCAAACTGTTATCACTTTGATGAAGAGAAGAAAAAATCATCTACTTCGGGTGCATTGTTTATACTATGGCTTCAACTCCTTGTGTGGTGCGCTGAGTTTTGTTTGTGGCTGCCTCCATTTTCATTTTAACCAGTGTTTTTATATTAACCACTGTTCTTACATTTGCAGATGGAAACACGCAAACGCCTGGCTAAGATTGTCCTGGTCTTTGTGGGATGCTTTGTCTTCTGTTGGTTTCCAAATCATATCCTCTACATGTATCGATCTTTCAACTATAAGGAGATTGACCCATCTTTGGGACACATGATTGTCACCTTAATTGCTAGGGTTCTGAGTTTTTGCAACTCTTGTGTCAATCCATTTGCTCTTTATCTACTCAGTGAAAGCTTTAGGAAGCATTTCAACAGCCAGCTCCGTTGCGGGAGGAAGCCCTTTCCAGAAAGATCAACCAGCTACCTACTCAGCTCTTCTGCGGTGCGCATGACTTCTCTGAAAAGCAATGCTAAGAACATGGTGACCAGTTCTGATTTAGTAAATGGGCACACCACGAAGCAGGAAATGACATTGTGAGTTTGGATGTTCAACTGACTACCTGCAAAGAACTTAGAGCTTTTTCTGTTCCTGGTGAGCATGGAGGAACTAAATACTTGCCCATTCTTATTTAGGTAACTCCTTAAAGAGTTTGTTGTTTGACTCAGAACAGGCAAGACAAACGTTTTTCTCTGAGAAGGACTGTATGGTGCAGGTACTGGGCTGCAGCATGGTAAACCATCTGTTGCAACGCCTGCACCCCATGAAGGAATACTGTTGGAAGCCTAGCTGCTTCACTTCCTATCCAGTTCCTGCTAACGCATCCGGGACAACAGCAGATGCTAGCTCCATTGATGTAAGTCTCTGTTGGAAGAAAATCACACACACACACACACAACAATTCAAAGAATAGAATTAAGCAGAAGTCAGTGACTGATACTCATTGTGATTTTTTGTGCTTTGTGTGATTAATCATAATTCACAGAAATAGCCCATTTGTGTACTTTTAAAACTATGTATGTGAGAAGAGTGCTGGAATTTGTATTTGTAAACTATATATACAAATATGACGTATGCTCTGAATGTAGAATAAGTACATGTTCCAAGCTGCATAACTCCGGTTCAGACATTTACAGGACCTTCTTTGTGTACAAGTCCTTGGTTACTTGCATAATTCTGTACGGATATAAAGATTTGGGTAATTCTGATGAACTGAACCATCTACTCGTTTTTTTCTTTCAATAGTCAACTGACAACTTAGTAAGGTTTCACTGAGGAAGTTTTTCTCTGCATGACAGCCCAATCTTTGAACAAAAGAGTCTTTGATTTTTTTTCAGCACAAGACAAACCTCATCTTGATTAAATCATAGAAGCTACTACCATGATGCATCACACGTGTAATTTTGATTTTAAATCAATGTCTTTCATATGCTTTTCTGTTCCAAATCCTCTGAGAAGGTTCGTTTAATGTAAGAAGATTTTTCTTAAATTTTGCTTACTCATATTCAATTGTACATAGCAATACGAAAAATAAACACAAGCAAATTGTTCATGAAATTTGCTAACACTAAAGACAAAAAACACCAATCACAGATATTTTTGGTTATGCAATCAATTGTCCTAAAGATTTAACGGAATCATCTAATTTAATCACCACCTTTGGCGCTCAGGTGAGCAAGAGATGAAGCTTGCTTTGGCAGGTGTGAAAATACATAATTTGGGGAGTGTTTTTATTCAAAAATTGTGCAAATTTGCAACTTTACAAAAATACCTGGTCAAGTGCTCATATTGCAAGGGCTCTCAATTTTGGCTTCATGATAAATGTATCCCTGATATGCACTGCTATTATTTTTATTTTATAAATCAGAAAATTGTGCGAAAATGTGGCATATGAACCAGCTACAATCATTGTATGTGTGCTCCAAACCTCCATAAGCATTCAGCTGTGACTTTTTTCTACTTGAATAATAAGTCTTAAATTTTGGGAAACCAATTGATTTGCTCACCAAAAAAGGAATATAAATAAATAATCTACATGAATTGTTTGTGTTTTGATTTCATAGTTCTTTTAAGGTCAATCCATTGAAATCTAAGGAACCAATGGGACAACAATGAAAATAACAACCCTCCACCCCCACAAACAAACAAACAAAACCCCAAAAAACCCACTTTGGTTGGTGGAAAACCTGTTTCTTTGCTAATAGTAAGATATTGTTATTTTTCATGTTGAAATGAAGGTATATTATTAATTCATATGAAATTCTATCAGATTCATGTGCATATATGTTGCAAGATTCTATTTCCTTTATGTACTCATATATCCTGTATTATTTCTGCAGTATTTCGATAGATGCATATGTATCTTATAAGACGTATATGTATGTGAAATTATGAGTCTACATGTATGAATGCCCAGGTTTAATAGACTTATTATAACATAGTCTGATGTATGATTTGATTTTCAAGAATGACAAACACATACCCACAAAATATTTTTTAAAAATTTTACTCACAATTTTATCAACAACATCTTTTGGTAAGGCAAATAAGATGCAGTATTGACATCATGGTTTTCAGTTTTCCTTTTTATTAGGTTTATTTATTTCTGAGAAATATATATGTAGAGAGAGAATTATTTATTTATTTACTAGAGTACTTATCAAATGCATGGAATAGTTTGAGTTGAGTCAGAGCAAAACCAAGAGCCTGGAAGTTCATGTGAGTCTTCCATGTGGGAGGTGGGAACGTAAGTCATTGCGTCGTCTTCTGCTCTGTCTCAGGTGTGCTGATAGGAAGAGGTAACGATTAGAAGTAAAGGGGCACAGATTACAGGTGCTTTGAGACAGGATGCAGATGCCCCAAGCAGAAACACCTGCTCAACTGAACAAAAACATACCACAATAGATAATTTTTCAATACTCGCCGACTTATGATTGGATTTAAAATATTCCATTTTCTAATACCGATGTTGGAAAATTTCTCTCTGGCTCCCCTGTCATGGCATTGTAAACTAAGGCTCTGTCACTGGCAGTGCATGTGGGCACTCTGGTTGTATTCCGGCTGCTACACTTCCTCTTCAGCAACCTGGTATGATCTGGGAAAGTAGATTGGTCATTTTGGGGAGACTCAGAGGAAGCTTCTGGCCCCTAACTTCAGGTTAGTTCAGCGCCAGACATCCTGGCGACTTGGGGAGTGAATCAGGCAGGTGGAAGATCTTTCTCTTTGTCTTTCCTCTCTGTGTAATTCTGTCTTTCAAATAATATTAAAACAAATCTCTAAAAAGGCACTGGCATTTAAACAGATAAAGTTATAAAAATGAAAAAAATTTTAACATTAACGTGAATTTCTATTTCTTAGATACTTGGATAATATCTACAGTTCTGTTCACAAGTTAAATGCATTTAGGATAATCTGTGAAAACAATTTTATTTTCTGGCTCTCAATTTTTATTTTCCATTACTGGGTAAAAGTCTTAATTCACTCAGTAACTACTATGCTTTTCATTTTGAAGCAGTTCTGTGAATGTGCTATTTCCTCAAATATTCTTTCCTTAAAGCACACTTGAGTATCACTACAATATATAGTTTATGATGCATGCTCATATTATGTGTATGGGGATCATTAGTATTCACAGAAATTATACCTTATCTTTAATTCTATTTCCTTACAAGGAATGGATATGGCTCCATTCCTTGCTCTCTCAAATGTTTGCTCACCATGTGACACCTTCCTCAATGCTATGACCCAACAAGGCAACCCTCATCAGCTATGTTGCCTTTGTCATACTTCTCAGCCTCTGGAATTGTGAATCAAAAGAACTTTTATTACTTACAAATTACTTGCACCATAAATAACTTGACAATTATTGTTATCAACATTAATATTAAAGAAATAAACCACAGGTCGAGTGTTGTGGTACAGAAGGTGCAATTTCTGCTTGGGATGTCCACATGTGCCATGGGAGTGCTTGAGATGGTACAGAATGTGCAGTTCCTGCTTGGGATGTCCACATGTGCCATGGGAGTGCTTGGGATGGTACAGAAGGTGCAATTCCTGCTTGGGATGTCCACATGTGCCATGGGAGTGCTTGGGATGGTACAGAAGGTGCAATTCCTGCTTGGGATGTCCACATGTGCCATGGGAGTGCTTGGGATGGTACAGAAGGTGCAGTTCCTGCTTGGGATGTCCACATGTGCCATGGGAGTGCTTGGGATGGTACAGAAGGTGCAATTCCTGCTTGGGATGTCCACATGTGGCATGAGAATGCCTAGGATTGAGACCTGTCTGGATCTCTGCCTCTGCTTCCAATCCAGCTTCCTGCCAGCCTGTACCCTGAGCAGCAGCACATAGCTTCTGTCACCCAAGTGGGACACATAGATGCAGCCACAGCCTCCTGGCTTTGGCCAGGCCCAACTCTGGTTGTTACAACAATTTGGTAGAATGAAAAAGTGGATTAATGCACTGTCTTACTCTTTCTTTTGACCTTTTAAGTAAATGAAAAATAAATAAAAAAGAGAAATGAAACATTTATCTATAAAATCACACCATGGAAACAAACCTGTAGGATGATATATATTCATCAGCAGGATAATGAAAATGTTAAAATCTGTGTCTGCTAAAATAAACATGTATGGCCCCAACTGTAGGAAACTATATAGGTTGTCTTGCATCTAGGCCAGTGTTATTCTCCTGGGAGAAAATCAGTCAGTATCTGGCTGGCATTTTGGGCCTGGTTAATGCCAACTCTGTGCTAATCTTACCAGTGTACTAGCATAAGTCCCTATCTTATTCCTTTTTTTTTTAAGATCTGGGGGCTCAGGGATACAGAGTACCAGCTGTGACACCATGGATCCAAGCCAGCTACAATGCCTTACACACCATTGCTGTTGGCACATATGTGTGGGGAAGGCATGCGTTTTTCAGAGCCAAGGAACTGGGGGTGGGTCAAATTGGTGGCCACTGAGGGCTTGTCTGACATAAAGAAAGGATTTCTGGGTGCCTCAATGTACTGGGTCACTGCGACTGGTAACTGAGGGAGCAGAGACAGGGTGCATAAGAAGCAGATATACAGAGGGCATCAATAGTCAGGGCACATCATCCACCAGTGCACCTGAAACCTGAGGTTGGGGGCAGGCTGGGGGCAGACTTGGGTCAGGCTAGGTTACAGCACTTGTTGGTAAGATCTGGGTCAAGGGACAGAATGAGCAGGTCTAAGCTGTAAGTATTGGGCTTAGAGATGGGCAAAATTAGGCTGATTTTAGCACCTGCCAGCAGGCACAAGACCTGGTGCTGGGGTAGAGCTGGTAGGTTGCCTTTGGAGATGCCCCTGCAAGGCTATAGCACCCACTGTTGCACACAAAAGCCAGGACTGGGATGAGTTTGGCTGGGTTAGGCCACAGTATCTGCCACCAAGATCTGGGGCTGGGGTTCGACTGGGTTAGGCCAGGCTGCAGCAAGCACCTGATGAGTATGATGACCAGGGGTGGGCCCATATAGGCTAGAACTGGAGCTGGGTGTGGGCATAGTATAGGTTCTAGGGGTCACTTTCACTAGGCCACAGCACCTGCCAGGGCAAGT